GGTGACTCCACCACTTCCCTGGGCAGCCCATTCCTGTGCTTGACCACTCTTTTGGAAAAGCAATTTCCTAACATTTTAGATGTTGGTTTTTCAGGGACAACTGTTTTGGATCAAAGGCTGCAGTAATATATCAAGTAACTGTTCCTATCCCAGTAGATAGAAATCCCGCAGAGTGATGGAAGCCCTTTGCCTAGAAGCCCTGCAAAGCCCTTGTAGCATGAAATTACTACTGTTGGAAGTGTCGGGAGCCTTAAAGGATAAAGGAAGAGTTTTGTGTTGGCTGTAGCTCTCCTAACTTTTTGAGGGCTTTTCTATGCAATTTGTATTCATTCTTCTTTGTTAGACTGCATGATGGAGGGACTGTAGGAACCCACTCTTCATATTTTATTCATATTCTCTCTTAAATTTTTGTTGTGGAAAGTGGCAGGTATGCAGTAGGCATCTATGTAATGAGAGCAGTTGATGAAATTCTGTTTGACCTCAAAATACTAACAAATTCCAGAAGACTCCTGATCTGTGGGTTAGTGGTAACAATGGTGACTACTGTATGCAGCCAATATTCAATTATTGCACAATGTGCTGTGTGTTGGGGAATGTTATACAGAGGAAAATGGAAGACATTACTTCTGCATTACATTGAAATAATATTCATCATTATGAAGTCCATCAATGTCCATGAACTATGTCACAATCTGTTTTGAGATGCTCTTGAGATATAGTTTCTCAGTGCATTCATTAGAATTTCTCTCAGTCATCTGAAACTGTTGCTAGCATTTACTTCAGGTTAGTTTTATAGGAAGTAGATAAAATTTGACTAATGTTCTTTGCATTTGCATTATGCTGTCTTCATTTTCTGTTCATAGAAAGTAACTATATAAATACGTAGGCGAGTAATGAGTGGTATCCCCCAGAAGTCCATCTTGGGACTGGCACTCCTTAGTATTTTTATCAGTGACATAGATAATGGGATAGAATGTACTCTCAGCAAATTTGCTGATGACACCAAGCTGAGAGGTGTGGTTGATACAGCAGAAGGAGGGGGTGCCGTCCAGAAGGACCTTGATAAACTCAAAAGTGGGCCCTTGTGAATCTAATGAGGTTCAATATAGTGCAAGGTTTTGCGCTTGGGTTGAGGTAATCCCAGATTTATATACAAACTAGGAAAAGAACTCCTTGAGACCAGTTGAGAAGGACTTGTGGGGATCTGGTTGGTGAAAAACTTTACATGAGCCAGCAGTGTGAGCTTGCAGCCTGGAAGGCCAATGGTGTTCTGCATCAGAAGAGGGCTGGCCAACAGAATAAGGAATGTGATTGTCTCACTCTACTCTAACCTCACGAGCCCCAGGCAGAGTACTGTATCTACGTCTAGATCCCCCAACACGTGAAAGACCTGGAGCTTTTGGTGTGGGTCCAGAAGAGGGCCTTGAAGGTAATCCGAGTGCTGGAGCTGAAGGAACTGGGCTTGTTCAGCCTGGAAAAGAAAAGGCTGGGGGAAGAACTTGTTGCAGTCTTCTGGAATTTAAAGGGAGTATATAAACATGACGAAAATCAGCTTTTTATGTGGGTAGATAGTGATAGGGAGAGAGAATGGTTTTAAATGAAAGGAGGGGTTATTTAGATTAGATGTGAAGAAAGATTTTTGCTCAGAGAGTGGTGAGGTGTTGGAGTAGTTTAAGGCCAGAGTGGATGGAGCCCTGGGCAATCTGATCTAGTGCTTTACTTAGTGGTTGGCAGCCCTACCTGTGACAGGGGATTGGAAGTTGATGATCCTTGAGGTCCCTTTCAATCCAAGCCATAGTTAGTGCACTTATTTGTGCATATTACATTTTAATGAAAATGTATTAATAAATTTTGCCAAGAGTTATTGGTCACTTGAGAACTTGTATTCCATCTTCTCTAAGGTTTTACTGAATTTTTTGTTTTAATTTCTGTTATATATGACAGGAAATACCTGGTCAACATTCTTGAAAATCAGGTAATTCTCTGCATGGCTAAGCCACGGAACTAAGACATTATTTTAAACATCCTTTAAAAAAACAAGCAAACAAACAAAGAACTTCAGCATGTTGTGTATATGTGCATAACAGTGCTGGACTCAAATAGTTGCATTCAGTCACTATTGAATGGTTGTGTTCCATTGCTCACTCTGCTGATTCAAAACTCTTAATAGTTTCCTGGTGTTTCTTACTAATGTTTATTCAGTTGTACTCAGTAGAATCTAATCCAGCAGTCATAGCTGATAATAAAGTTACATTAATTCTGTAATTGCAACACAAAGTCATAAAAATCAGAGGAGGAAAAAGGACAAACCAAGTATATTTCAAAACATTTCAACATTCTTCAACTTTATCCATCTTTCTTGATTGTCTTCATCCAATCTTTTTTGCAGAAGTCGAAAGTGAAATAGCAGGTGTAGCTTTCATTTTGGAATCAACTATAAGCCTACTTTTCTTTTAAACACAGCACATGGCTATCAGCAGTGGACAAAGGATTGTGGTTTCTATTCAGTTAGAGTGGATTTATGCATATTTTTTGATGTTACCTTCTGATTGACATCTTTTATAATGCTAAGATCAGTGGTAGTATGGAAAATGTCATGTATGATACTTCTGGTTAATTGCATGTGATTCTGATTATCTCTTTTGTTGTGCTGTGTATATCACTGTTTCTTGAATGCATCGTTAGTGTCTGCTTTGCTGCTCAGTTTATGTGCTGTTTGTTTCAAAAGATTATGTTCTTTTAACTTAGCCAGACCAGTTGAGATGCATTTTATCCTATGATGTTGAGAGTAGCCATAAATACCAGCTATGGAAGAGAAGATCTGGCCTTCAGGAGAAATAGGAAGCATGCAGAACAAGAGGATGGATTCAAGACTCTGATAGTGTTTGAAAAGGCTTCCTCTTTTTTATCAGGCACCTCTCTTTACTCTTTTTGAAATACCCATATGCATAGTAACCGTCTTGCTATACAGTATCTTTATGACTTACTGTATCATTTTGGGAAAAACTTCATTCTCTTAAAAATATGTTGTATCTTGACTATCTCATCCTCTGAGGTACTTAGTACCTTAGAGTACTCACAGACTTCTGTTCGAGTGCTGTAGGTTATCACTGGTACTCCCATCAGACCTACAGAAAGGCTGCTGTTTAGGAATCATTATTAAACAAAATGGCTTACTTAGACTCTTTAATGTTGTATTTTGACCACCCAAATGGTGTTCAGATGTGAAGATGTCAGATGAGAAAAAATGTACTTTCATCTGCTTTTATTTCTTCAGATGTTTCCTAGCTGCTGTAGCCCTTTAGGTATTAGAACTAAGAGGCCTAGTACAACCAGCTAATGACATTGCCAGGGTGAGTGTACTGATAGCATAATCCTGAGTGCAAACACATTCTTGAGTTACTACGGAGATAATGTGTCATCTTCAGTTACTCGTCAGTGAGTCTTTGGCAGGCTGACAAGAGGTCACTGCAGTTTCTGTGAGAGCTCTGTATTTCAGAGTAGGTTGGAGAATTATAAGAGCAGTGCCGGGAAGTTAAGTACAGAGAAATCCTCTCATTGCTGTTATGTATTTGCAAAAGAGTATTTAGTAGTAATGTTAATTAATGTGATTAATATTACTCTGATACAAGAAATTTTGAAGGGGTTGTTTATAGATACTGGAAGACGTGATTTATTCTTCACTGTGGAAAACAATTTTTTTTTTAATATATATTGCCTTTGGTTTGATGAAGAGGCTTTCATTAAATTGCTGTCTTGACAGCTTAATGAGACAAATCTCTTCCATATGCTCTGTATCATGAGCCATAGCTAGTAAGGTACTGAACAGCCTGCCTAATAAGTGGAAGCACAAGAGAAAAACTTTACAGTAGGAAGTTCCATGTTGTTGAATCATATACTTTTAGATTTCGTATTTAAAACAGCATAACCATATTTCTGTCCACAATTTATTTTAATGAAAGATAGCAAGTGTGAAAACAGAGGAAATACAAAGCGTTTGGGACAAAAATAGTTTATTTTGATCTCCAAAATTCCTTTCCTCATGCTTCTTCTAACCTTCACTGTCATACCAGGTCCTCTCCCAAGTGACTCAGGAGTGATGTGAGGTCATTGCCTTCTGTTTTCTTGGGGTGTCTGGCGTTTGCAGTCTAAAAATAACTGCTCTCCTTGTACTAACAGAATATTGTACTTACAAATGTTGCACATCAGAAGTTTTCCAAGCCTGAACTGCTTACCTTCCAAGATCATATGTGTTCAGTTTAAGATGGTGGAAGCAGGCAGGGACTGAATGCCATAGCAATATAAAAAGCAGAATTAGGCATATCTGCACACCATAATACAGCTGCTATTACAACAGGTGCAGTTTTGACACTCCTTAAAAGAAGAATGAGTCTCAGAGGCAAAATGCATTGCTTGATCTGAGGGACTAACTGGAGTGAATAATGCTCCAAACTCATTTATTTGTCCATGATCTGAAATGACATCCAAATACATCTGCAATGGAATAAAAGGAGTGGTTTGTGATGATATAGTGTTACAAGCAATGTCCTTCTAAACTTCAAGGTAAAGAGTGCTAAGATGTCCTTGTTGCTGTGTTCAAATGCAAAGATTTTCTTTTGAGGCAATAATGACATTTCTATAATTGTGAGAATGAATGCTTCATTTTAAGTGATAGACCCCCCTATAACAGGATTCACTGTTTCTGAGTGTCAGGGCTCCCATGAAGTCACTGGCACTACTCAGATGTAAGTTACACTGTGACATTGCAGGTGACAGTGAGCCCTTATTTCACTTATTATTCTTCTGTTTGCATCACATGTAGACCCCAAAATGAGAAAAACAGTAGCTTTTTAATCCAGTGTGGTGAGATAAGTGTTTACTGCTCAGAAGAAAGCTGATTATCTTGTCCTGCCATTGCAACCTGTGTATTGCTTTTGCTGTGTCTTTTTATTTTCCTTTTTAGTACAAATGTTACATTTCTATTAAAATTTCGATTTCAGGGTAAAATGGTGAAGGGAATGGGAGGTGCCATGGACCTGGTATCTAGTGCCCAGACAAAAGTGGTTGTCACCATGGAGCACTCAGCCAAGGTAAGGCTGTGTCTTCTATGTGACTCACTCGTGCTAGAAAAACAAAACAAACATTTTACATTAATTCTGTCACTTTGTAAGGATTTTACAGATTTATTACTAGTTGCAATTGTACTTCTTGGCCTCATGAAAGTTAATTGTTTATCATGGAAAAAATTAAATATTAATTTGATATTTAAAAGCTGCATACTTTTTTTGTTGCTTGTGCAAACTTAATGAGAGTTACAATTGGCAGAGCTACGGTAGATGCTACCCTGAAAATTTTACTCTTCACGTCAGAATAATTTGGGAAATGAGGTTCCCAATGGCTCAATATTTGTTGTACTGGGAAAATATTTACCTTTGAAGCTATCAGTCAAATTGGTACTGACAGCTTGATAAAACAGATCTTTTTGGCATGATACTATGCAGGCTGCCTTACTTGTTTTATTGTTACGTGGTAGAGGTTAATCTAGAGACCTCGTTGTAGAGATAGGTTTGTAGATATAGACAGTGTTCCACAGAGGATCATAGAAAGCTTTGAAAATTTAAAAAATTGTGCAGTCTTAGCTATGAGGAAAGCTGTTTGAAGGACAGCATCTTTAGTCCCAAGGAACTATAACAAATGCTTAAAAATGACTTTCTATTTCATTTTTTTTGTTTCTGTTATTCATAATTTGTTGGTGTAGACACCAAAGCCTCCTGTAAATCAGTGCAAGTCAAGAGGTATGTTCAAGATTAATATATATCTGCCGGTATATGTAGGGGTAAGCACAAGGAATTTGCCTGGCAGTAAATATGAAAGATAACTATATTAATAGTTGTGGAGTTCTTTTAAATGTGATTTAAGGAATGAATCTTAACTTTCTATATTTTTCAACAAGTTGGGGTTTTGTTGTTGTTTTCTGATTTGGTTTTTATAGAAGCTGTGATTTCTAGTAGTGCACTGTAAGTAACAGAACTGGGACTGACCCAGTGGTTCTTGTAAGCATATGTGTAAATAAATAATCAAAAGAGCAAAGCAAATTTGTCTGACTTGCATCCCTATCACAGCCCCACAACAACTGGGTGTCTGAGTATCCCTTCACTTATGCACATATTTCAGATAAGTAGGCCAGGCATAGCTTTTATAGCTTTTTTCTTTCTTTTTTTTTTTTTTTTCTTTTTTTGACATACATCTGTATAACTTGGATTTTTATATACATGAGGTTCCTGGTATGTACTTCTAGAAAGCCTGTTTCAGGCTTTACTGGCTTCCATAACTTACATATTTACTTTTGTAGGAATATACTGCACAGTGAATCCAAGTATATGGGGTTTTTTATTTATTCTTATTTTACAATTAAGGGCTCTTTCATCCTAACTATACAACTGCACCCTTTTGGGGCTGCTGCTTCTTTGCCCAAAAATGAAGAAGGTAAAGTAGAGAAGTTGAATGTGAAAAATAAAAGCAAAACCATCTATAGCTTCTGTTACATGTTTTAGATGGTTTTTTGTTTGTTTGTTTCTTTGTTTGTTTTTAAGTAGGTGTTAGTGAGAAAATGTGGAAGAGTGATGCCCAAGCAATTGTATGACCTATAATGCCAGTTCTGAAAGTCAGAAGCCTTTATTTGGGGTGACTTTTACAGAGCTGATTTTTTTTTTTTTTCTTTAGCATGAAGATTTTCTCACAAATTGTAATTTCAACCATACCTAAGCATTAGATGAGCCCTCTTTCCTCTTCCCAAGAGTCAGGTGGGCTACTGAGCAAAAGAAATGTATGCCCGTATTGTTGGAATCTGTTTTATCTGCAGGCTTCTTTGATTAGGGACATTGTTGTTGTATTACTCTCCAAATAAATAACAAGAAATTTATCATTAGACATTAAAGCCTCCATTAAATAAATGTGAGTCAAGGTCTGATGGACTGAAATACAGTGGAAAGCCACAGGATATATGCAATAATAAATAGTTGTAGTAGTTAGTTTTGTTTGATCTGTCATCTTGTAATGGATCTTTTAATCCTTTTCAAGTGTTGTTTTTTCTCTTTTTGTACTTCTTGGTGTTTGTTTGTTTGTTTGTTTTATATATAATAGTGACAGCTTGTTAAACATTGCTCAGAATATATCCTGAGTATGCATGTTGCAATTTTCAAACTTAGCAATAGGCTGAATCCAGTGCAGACAAAATACAATTAACACTAAATTATGAGGGTGAAACTGGTATCTCTCTTCACACTCAAGGAACCACCCAAATAATTTATTCTGATATGCAATATATTAAGAATAATAATGAACATCCTTTGCTCCCAAGTATTTTAATTTTTGATAACTTAAATATTTACATTTCATGAAAGCTGAAAGATACAGAAGAAAAATGACAGGACTTAAATGACATGTAGAAAAATTCAGAGTAAGAAATATCAGTGAGACAGAGTAGAAATATGAGGGATAGTGAAGGTACAGATGCAGTATGGCTAGTCACTGCCTTATTGGAAAAAGAAAAAAAATGGGGGGTAGACAACTGAAACTATAGAAACTAGCAACCAGCAGGTTTGAAACAAGAAGTATTTTTCAGAGTCAGCTAATGAAATTGTGGATCTTTAGCAGAATGCTATAGGAGCTCAAAGCATTACACCCATATGAAAGGGATTAAACTATTTTATGAGTTTGCCAGTGACAATTAAATAGCGTTGCCCAGAAGCAGTCGCTAGCCTAGAAAGCCTAACCATCACAGTGTGTCATGAACCAGGAGGGAATAGCTGATGAAGGGTGGCTCAATTTTTCCTCTATCTGTTTAGGCCACTGCAAGACACTTGGATGATGGATTCAGTTTAATTTACTATGATAGCTCTTGGTGTATTTTTTGTGAAATTGATTTTTGGTTAACTGTAAAGACCAGAATATAGTGTTGTTATTTAATCTTTGAACAGTCACTGTGCACCTGCGCCCAGTCTGGTAAATACTGCCTAGAAGATAAAGAAGTCCTTACATCCACACTGTTATCGATGTACTTTGCAAAATAGCATAAAGTGCTGGTCACTTTCAGATGGGGTAATGACTTTCAGGTGGCATAATGACTTGACTACACAACTAAAACAGTATAATGGAAACTATTTTTAAGCGTGTGCTTTAGTCATGACTGAAACACGGGGCACTGATTTTCCATCATTGTGATTAGTTTTTGTTTTGATATGTTGTACAAAACTATGGTATTTTTTGTCCATAAAAGTGTCCATTAAAAATGCAGCAGAATTTTTGAGGACTGCTCCAAAATTAATGCCTCCTATTTTATTATGTTGGCACACAACGTCAGAGCGGGGTGATGGCAGTAGAGATCAAACCTTCCCACCATTATCCCATTCCATTTTGTTGCTGCGTGACAGATGGCAGCAGAGGGGCAGTCTAACAGAATGGCATCTGACATGGAAGTGTGTATGAAGCAAAGGTGTGGCAGTGAATTCCTCCATGCAGAAAAAATGGCACCACCTGCATTCATCAACACTTGCTGAATGTTTCTGGAGACTAAACAGTGGATGGGAGCACAGTGAGGCAGTGGGTGATGTGTTTCAGCAGTGACGTGAAAGAAGCTGTGTTCTGTATGGCCATACTGATTTTTAGAAGAGTGGCATGCAAGTTCTTGTTCATTATCCAGCGAAAATGCATAGCTAATGATGGCGACTGTGATGAAGAAGTGTGTTTTGTAGCTATTCTTCATGTCTGTTGTAGTTACCGTGGAAATAAACAGGAGGCATTACTTTCCCAGCAACCTACGTATTTAAAGCAGAATGAAACAGCCTGAGGTTGTGGAGATCTACACAACAAACTTTTCTTCCTTTATCTGAACAAATACTGTATAAATTCAGATAGTAAAAATTCTTGCAATTCCACTTGGATTCCCATACTGATAATGCCCTGATGGATGAGTTCTGAAAGCCACTTTTCATGCTACAATAATGTTCATCTCAAATGTTAAGAAGCTGGAATGTATCACTTTTAAGGGTCATGGAAGCCACTCAAGCTGTCATCTCTGCAAGTCCATTTTGTTTTTACTCAGGAATAAAACTAAGATATATTTAATATGTAATATATAAATAATATATATTATTATTATCATATATAACATAAATATTTAACATATTAAGCCTTAAGGCAAATTGATTATTGCATTTTTAAAAGTATTGCATTCACATGGTTAAATGAGACATGCAATACTCCAAGAGTTTTGAAAGGCATAACTGAAAATTGATAGAGGAAAAACAAACAAAAAAACCCTCAGACCTAAGCACCTAAGCCTTATGCATCCAGCTTTGTGTCAGTAGCTATGCCTTTTCAGTAGGCAGTATTTTACCCACTATCTAAAGTAGCTACCTTTTGATATCTAGGAAGGGAAGCATCTTAAAGCAAGTCCTGATCTCTTTATACGCATTACTTTGTACTGTATTTATAGGCTGATTGGTACTGACAAAAGTAAAGGCAGTGTAGCTTCTCTTATAGTACTTGAAGATGAGCATATCTTGCTCATCTCCTAGTCTGCTTTTGTGCTTTTCTAGAGTGACAGAGGAGAAGGAAATGGAATGTGGGTAAAGAAACTGGCCTTAGTATTTTCAAAGTGTGAGTATGCACGTGAGCCATAGGGGTTCAAAATGCCTATGAGTATGGCTGGTCCTGCACATATCGCTTATAATAAATGAGGCAGAGTAATGTTATGTTCACAGTGTCATTCTCTAACCTTTACATGTCATCAATAAGGTCCCATGTGTGACTTATCCTCACACTGCAGTAGAAGAGGAAATTATTGAACTTCTAAACTCAAGAGCCGCTGAGTGGTACACTGAGAATCTTATTAGACATCTCATTATAGTCAGGGCTTCAGTTAGAACTGTTCCAAGTTGTCAGCATTGTAATCTGCCATGAAAGTGAGTTCAGATAACGTTCTGAGTGCAGTGAATGTTTCAATAACACTGAATGCTTGCAGCTGTGGTTTTCCTTTTTAATGTACATACTTGAATTCAGAGAAAGTTGCACTGTTTTTTAAAATTAACCTTTGTTTGTATACTGTTAAATGCAGGGCAACGTCCATAAAATCTTGGAAAAATGCAGTTTACCACTTACTGGGAAGCAATGTGTAAATCGCATCATTACAGAGAAGGTAAAGTTCTTTTCTTGAATTCTTTACAATTCTTTTCTCCTCTCAGTGACACTAAGTGAAAGCAGTAAAAAGTGTGGTAAAAATAAAGAATATATTCAGTATCTGTTGCTTGTGAAGGACAAAGACTTTTTTTGAGTTCAATTCCAGAGACAAGTTGGCTCATATTTTCCTTTTAAATCTTTCACTGTTGACATCATGCTGGATGGTTATCACATTGGCCATCAGAACAGAGATGCAATCCATGAGAAATATGCAAGGAACATGTTTGGTTATTTTTTCCAAAGTATACCTGAAAACTTGCCTCATAAGATGCAAATCATGAAATGCACGTTTTCCTCAAAAGTTCATGTCAGGTAACTGGCATCTTTCTTGGTATATATTACAAACTTAGACACATGATCTGTGCTGTTGCTATCTTTTGCTTTCACTTGATTGCATTTGTGAAGCGATTTACTGTCCAGTGCAAGTCTGTTTGATATTGCCAGTGTTCAAAGTGCATTAGTGGATCTTTTCAGCAGCGTACGTGACTTAGAATTTTTGCTGTAATCGTGTTCCTTTTATTATCAATGTGTACATTTTTAAAGGCTTTGAGTAATCCCTCTGTGAGCCATCTGTCACACTAAGTAGAATGCTTCAAAAGTGCTGATGCAGAATTTGTTTTCTCTCAGTGGTGTATTGCTACTGTCATTTAAAGTTTTCCTCTACAAACAAAGGGAGAAGAAATCAAAATGTGGATGTTTTTCTGTAGAAAACTGGCATTGAACAAGGACTGACAAATAAAAATGTGCAGAAAATTTCCGAGCCTCAGTGCTCATCAGGTCTCGCTGTTTAATGAAGGATGACACAAATGTACAACACTATTTAGATTGTATTATAGACTGTTTCGTCGCTAGCTTCCTAGTGTCTGTTTTCCATAAATTCAGCTTTTCTTTTAAGACTCAGAAGTACAATTTCAGTCCCATAGTATTCATGAAATCCTTTGGATTAGAAGGGACCTTAAAGACCACCTAGTTCCAACCCTCTTGCCATGGACAGGGATACCTTCCATTGGAATAAGCTGCAGAAAGCCCCATCCAACTTTTCCTTGTACACTTCCAGGGAAGGCACATCCACAGCTCCTGTAGGCAAGCTGTTCCAGTGCTTCAACAGTACTCATAGCTGAGAATTTTGTCCTAACATCTAATCTAAATCTACCTTTTTGTTAGTTTAATGACACTAAACCTTGTGCTATCACTCCACTTTGTGATAGCCCTTTGGTGTAATGGAAGGCTGCTATAAGGTTCATAGGTTTGGTGCTCCCACCTGCTGATCACCCTCATGGACCTCCAATGGACTCGCTCCAATCACCCCATGTCTTTCATGTGCTGGGGGGCCCAGACCTAAATTCAGTACTGTGGGTGGGTTCTCATAAGCCAGAGCAGAGGGTGACAATCATCTCCCTTGCCTTGCTGGTCACACCTCTTTTGATAACCCCAACATGCAACTGGTTTTCTGGGCAGCAGGTGTGTACTTCAGGCTCATGTTGTTTTTCATCTACCAGAAGCAGTGAAGTCCATCTCTGTAGGGCAGCTGTCTATCCACTCATCACCCTGCCAGTATTCATATTTGAGTTTGCCCCAGCGCAGGTGCAGGACCTTGCACTTGGCCTTGTTGAATCTCATTAGGTTCATATGCCCCACCCTGCATGCTTGTCAAGTTCCTCTGGGTGGCATTTCTTTCCTGCAGCATGTCAACCACACTACTTATCTTGATGTCATCTGAAAACTTGCTAAGGGTGCACTCCATCCTACTGTCCATTCCACTAGCAATGGTATTAAATAAATCCATTCCTAGTAATGACCCTGAGGAACACTGCTCTCTGGTACCATTTTCCTTCCAAGTTCAATTTTCACTGGACTTTTGCTGTTGGCTTTTTAAAATTTTATTTTATTTTAGGAAAATGAATGTAGACTTGGTGGTTTTTGTGGCAGCTAGCTTGCAACCTGTGTATTCTCTGGGCACCATTATAGTGTGTGTTGTTCTACAGATGTTCTTCCGTGCTTGAGAGACTTCAAAGTGGAAAGCTTGTCTTAGGAAGGCATCAGGGAAGAGGCTCCTTCAGCTACATCACCTGAGGATTCATTTTAAAAATAGAACAAGAAAATTTCTCTTTCTTAGCTAGCTTCAAAAATACTAAAATTTATAATGTTTAATAGCTGTTGGAGGTGCTGATCATTTGATAAATTGATCAGCCACCCTTTACCTCCCTATAGTCCTAAAAGCAAAACAAAAGAATGAGAAAGAGGATGGCTTTCCCTGTTTTCTTTCATTACCTCTTAGCGGACATTGTCTTGTAGCAAAGAATGTCTCAGCCATTTCCCTTGCATCTTGCATTTCTCACCACATCAGAGCAGGAGACACTGTTCTTATTTCATGTAGTGAAGAGCAGTTGCCCATTTTTTCCCACAAAATCAACACATCTTACACTTCAGATTCTTTCAGGTATGAATAAATCTCTACTGGTCAGTCTGAAATGTGAAACCAGTTGATAATGGTATCATTTTTTACTGAAGAAATTCTTTTTAGCAAATTGATTTGTACGATATTACTACTTGGATCTTCAGTTTTTTAATAATAAAAATTAATTTGGTGCTATTTGAACCTGACAGGCTGTGTTTGATGTGGACAAGAAAAAGGGACTCACCCTTGTGGAAATCTGGGAAGGACTGTCAGTGGATGATATCAAGAAAAGCACTGGCTGTGACTTCACAGTAAGTCATTTTACAAACAAATACAGTTGTTCCTTTTACATTGCCTTGTCGTTAATCCATAAAGCCACTGATTTTTTACCTTTACATTCTTTCTTAAATATCATTTAATGTTAACACAAAACTGACTTACTAGTAGAAAGTACAGTGGAACATAACTGATTCCATATGTGTGGTCAATAACAAACGTAGTTTCTTCATGGCCTCATGCATTCATACGATAAAGCTTTTTCTTCTGTATTGTAAAGCTGGCGGAGAGGTCAGCTTTTTTTTTTTTTTTTGTGAGGATTGTGAATTTGACAGTATACACTTGTCTTGTGAAGGTAATTGGGAATACTTGATAATGAAGGATAGAAATCTTCCTCTTTGCAGTTTCCAGACCTAGAGCACATTTTTACAAGATTGCTGATGTATTTAATTTGAGGATTAACTTTAGGTTGAATTTGAAAGGTGCTGTGTTTAGCAACCATATGCATAGAATGAAACCGTGGAGAATGACTTTGTTGTAAGGAGACACCAGCTCTTACATGTCTTCGTCTCACTCCAATTTATAGGAGGGAGAGGAGGTTCTTTTAACATCTATATACCCGGTGTGAGATTAAGAAACAACAGTTCAAATGTTGGTCCAACCCGTTTATTACAAATCTTAATTAGGGAAATGGGGAAAGGGAGGACGGACACTATTATGAATTAGGGTAATGGGGAAGGGAAGGAGGGAGATAGGAAAGAAGAAGCGAGGAGTCTTTATAGGAAGCAAGAGATAGTCACCACCATGGATGCAGTGTGGTTCGTAGTTCAGTCTTTGATCTTCAGTAGTGGTGGGTCATTGGGCATTGTTCTGTTGATGACGACTAGGAGAGGACTATGGCAATGATGGCCCCTTTTCAATGCTTTCAAAGTGGTCGAGTCAGCTGTCTTTGGAGTGACAGCTCAAATCCAAAGTGGTCGAGTCAGCTCTCCTCGGAGTGGCAGCTTCTGGCTCTGGGATCTCAGCAGAAACTCCTTTGTTCCCATCTTCCAGGCCTTGCAAGCAGATAAGTGGGAGCAGGGATGCCCATCTGCATCCTGTTTTTCACAGAACACGATGTTATCATTCCCCAGTTTTCCCATACCTAGCTGGAGCTGTTTAGTCACAGGCCAGATCTTCCTCCCGTAAACACTCCTGAGCACTCTCTTCCAGAGGCAAGCAGCTCTGGAGGAGGGGGCTTTCAAATATTCCCGAAATGATGTCGATTGTCACACGGTTAGCACCCATCACTTGGCTCCTCAACTAATCAATCACAGTCTTACAAAAAGAAATACCTCAGGAAGCAAGCTTTGAGCCAAAAAAACAAAAAAAACAAAAAAAACAAAGAAGGATTTTCACAGTCTTGAACCTGTTTTTTGGAAGGAGTTGGTTTCTTTTTGATTCAGAGGATCTATGTATGTATGTATGTATGTATGTATGTATGTATGTATGTATATGGGAGTTGGTATTACCGGAAGTAATTTCCAGCCTGTGCTGGAGGCAATTGAAGCAGAAGGATCCGGAGTATTCAGGGAAAGAAATGAATAGCTCAAAACAATGGGCTAGCAGAGAAAAGCTTTGCAGTAGCACATGGCAAGACTATTAGGACTATTAAGAAAGAATTAGCACCACCTCACTGAGCCATTAGCATTTCCCTGTAAATATTACAAAGAAATGGTATAAAATTTGAATTTTAAGGATGGCCTGAAGTTAGCAATTGGTGAACAGGGTAGTGCTGTCTTTGTTCTGGAATCTGTCTCACCAGGCTCTAGAGGGGTCACTTCACAGCCACCTGTTTCCTATTTCATGAAGACAAACTCCACTGCAATCTGCTTTGTGCAGCTGCCTTGGTCATGATGAAATCATAAGCTGCACTAAAGGACAGTTATGGGCATGAAAAGTGTAGATGCTCCTTGGTTTGTACGCTTTTCTGTATTTATCTGAAAGCAAGCAGCTTCCATAAATGCTTGCAAAGCACGTACTGTGCTGACCTCTGCCAGAATATGTGTGTGGGTCAGCATTACCTATTGGGCTATGATAGTTCCTTAAAAATGCCTGAAATTTCTGTAGCTCTGCAAACACACAGAGTGAACCAGAATGATTTGTTAGCTAATGCAGTGGTTTGGAAAAGCACTAGCTCTTCCTTTCTCCCACGTTTTTTTTTTTTGTTCCTTTCCCTCCTAAAGGATGTTTCCAGGTCACAATGACCCTGTCCTTCTGTCATTGAAATCTTCACCAAAACTGCTATTGTATTGGCATTGGTGGCTGCAAGACTAGGTCACCCTTGCATGATGCTAGATTGAGGACTTGATTTTAATACAGTGAACAGGTGCAGATCCCTAGCTTAATTTTGAAGTTGAGAGAACAGCGATTTGAGCACTGTGGCAGACAGTTGTTTCGAAAATAGTATCCTTAGTCTTTTTTCCACATTTCAAGACTTTGCCTCAGGCTCCCTTGCAAGAGTAACAGTTGTGCTTTGATTATTTATGTTCCCTGAATGAGACATCTTGTTCTCATTTGTACTGGCGACAGAAACTTCATTGATACTATATTACAGCAGTAAATGCAGAGATTTTTTGCTTGGTTCGTTTTGCTAGTTTGAAACAGAACTAATGGGTAAAAAATAAGGAGCTGACCCTTTCCTGACAGCTTTTCTCTGTGGATGCAGAGTTATCTAGACTAAAATAAGCATAGATTTAACTATGGGATTGACTAAGGAATGACTATACCTTCATATGTAACTACATCTCCCTATGCAACTACTTCTTTTTGGAGAGCTTTGTAGTCCTTATGGCTTTTTGAGACACATTTTGCTGTATGTTTCCATTTTAAAAAAAGGAAAGGATTTAGAATCAAGGGTCTTGATTGTAGACTGTTGTAAAATAAAAAATTCACCCTGAATTCTACTGTGCTATGAAGGCAACACATTGGCTTATCTTGTATATTTAAATGAGAGTTGTTGCTCCTTAGGAAATAGGCTGCCTTAACAGGTAAATATATTTGGCTTGTACTTGTTTATACCTTTGGTGAGACCATGAAAGCAGAGACTGAGAAAGCATAATTTGTAGATTTTATTTTTATTTAGATTTTTGTAATAATGAGTGCTCAGCTTTACAGAAAGTTCTTAAAAGGTAATAACTTGCTTTTTTACTCCTGATAATAACACTGGAAGTTATTAGGACTCAGCACTATTCAGGATCAGGCCTTGAAAGACTTGCTTGGTGAAGATAAACATAACGAAATAACCATGGACATGTTGTGTGTCGGAATTCTGGAGTCAACAAGCTTGAGTTGTTGGGAGCATTGGGAGTACCTGAGGCCATGAGTCCTCAGCTACAGTCATCCTCTTAGAAGTCTGAGGCAAACCAGACCACAAAGTATACTGTTGCCCATTCACCTGCCTGTTAAACATCAGCAAAGCATGTTGAAACATCCAAGATGAGCTGTAATTCCAGCAAGTGAAATAATACTAAAAGTGTGCTGCTTAGGATGTACTATAAGAAAGTAATAAACATGCATCTTTGCGCTGTGAAATAGCCATTGTTAAGCATGTTCAACCTTTATCAAAATCTGTGCTGATTGGATGATGATTCTGCTGCAATTTAAAGCAGCATGCTCAGAGGGCTTTCTGCATTTGAGACTTGTTTTCCTTTCTTGTGTTACCGTTTTGTTTTTTTTGGTTTGTTGGTTGGTTGGGATTTTTTTTTGCTTTTTTTTTTTTTTTTTTTTTTTTTTGCTTATTTAACCGGATTTATTTAAAGCAAACAATTCTATTTGCATCCAGTTCCCAGTGGTGTATGGTCTTTCATTACCTCTGTTATGTTCAGCAGACACTGTGGCACTTCACTCTCCTGGGGATCAGACCTTTTCAGAGGTGAATAGTGGTGCGCAAAAATGACAGCTGTTAGCATCAAATGTGCAGACAGTGATATTAATGTGGTATGCTCATTGAAATGTAAAACACTAGAGGTTTTGACGGTACCAACCCTATGACGGGAGAAAAGCAATAACCTGCTCCAATAATTGTCTTTTGCCATTGCAGTATTCAAGTTTTAATGGTGCTGTCTTCATCCTCTAGCAAGGGTGTTTTCCTCAATGCCACTATTCGTAGGTGAGGCCAAAATTAAGTGAGGCACGTACCTGCTTTGAGTTGGAAATGTTGAAACATTTCTGGAACTGTCTGGGAATGTTTATGCGCTCTGGAAATTTTTCCAGCTCCTCTACACTTGTAACTTCTACATCTGTTTATTATCCTAGTTCACAGAGAACTTTGTAAAATCAATAAACGGTTTCCATCCACTGAAAATATTTCATTAGCATTTGATATAGTAAACACATTCATGAACTAAGCTTTTCTTGATGGCTATTCTCATAGGAATGAAAGTGATGACATTTCGTGGCTGGAGGAAGGATAACTTAGAAATTGAATTCGTACTGGAAATACAGCCTTCCTATGCGTGAAAAAGGCCTCTGTATATCATTCTTTAGTAAGTTGAATTGTTCAGTACCGTTAAGTGAAAAAGTTTGGTTAAGGAGACAGGAGCACAGTATATTGTGTTTCAGTGGGACAAACTAACCAACTGGAAGCCCACTACCTGTGGAACTGTCTGTCATCCTGAACAAGCAAGATCACATGAATTGATTCAGATCTCATCCTGGGGAACCTATATAAATAAGGCTGGAAACAGGATGTATTTAATGAGGCTTGGATTGTCTGTGGAGAGGTTTTCCTCAAGATGTAGTGCAGGCCTGCAGTCATGTCTAACAATGAAGTCCAAAGTCTGCTCTGTGTTGCTTCCACTTACACCTTCTTTCTTCATCCTCTCTATTTAAGCTTACTGTGTTTTATTTATTTTTCATTGGCTGGAGACCTTACAATACAACAAATGGATTTTGCAGATGCATAGAATTACAGCATTAGAATTGTACAATCAGAATTGTTTGAGTTGGAAGGGACCCTTAAAAGACATCTAGTCCAACTCCCCAGCAATGAATAGGGAGATCTACTGCAAGGTAGGATTGCTTGGAGCCTGGGCCAGCCTGGCCTTTGGATATCTCTAGGGACAGGCATCAACCACATTACTGGGCAACTTGTTCCAATGCCTCGTCACCCTCCCTGTAGAAGACTTTTTCATGGAACCAATCTAAATCTCCCCTCTTTCAGTTTGAAACCATTTCCCCTTGTTCTGTCATCACAGACCCTGTGAAAGAGTCTGTCTCCTTCTTACATTGTTCCTTTAGATACTGAAAAGCTGCTATCGGGTTTCCCTGGAGCCTTTCCTTCTACAGGCTGAACAGCCCTAGCTCTTTCAGCCTGTTCTCATAGCAAAAGTGTTACTTTCCTTGGACCTTCCTATTTTTTGTGGCCTTCCTATGGATGCACTCCAACCGCTTCACATTCCTCCTGTGCTGAGGACTCCACATCAGGATGCAGTACTCCAGGTGAGGTCTCACCAGGGCAGAGTAGAGGGATAGAATCACCTCCCTCAACCTGCTGACCACAAGTATTTGATGCAGCCCAGGATATGGCTGGCTTTCTGGGCTGCGAGGCCACAGAGCTGGCTCATGTCCAGCCTGCCATCTACCACCACCATCTACCAAGTCTTTTCATCAGGGCTGTGCTCCATCCTGGTGTCCCCCAGCTTGTACTGATAGCAGGGGTTGCCATGACCCTGGTGCAAAATGTTGTGCTTGGAAAAATGGCACCCCCTGACATTCATCAACACTTGTTGAACATTTCTTGGAGACCAAAAAGTGGATGTGAGCACAGTGAAATTGTGGGAGTATGTTTAAGCAGTGGTGACAGCACATCCCCACTGAGTTTTCTCTTCAACAGCCAGAACATACCCAAGTTACTCAGCCTTTTCTTGCACAGGAGATGCTTCAGGCCCTTAATCATCCTTGTAACCTTGTGGCCTTGTGACTGGATTCCTAGAAAATCCCTGTCCTTCTTTTAACTGGAGAGCTCATAACTGGACACAAGACCCTGCACTTGGATTTGTGCAGGTTCACTTGGGCCCACTGCTCAGCATATCTAGATCTCTCTGTATGGCATCCCATCCCTTGGGTGCGTCTGCTGCACTGTACAGCTTGGTGTCATCTGCAAGCTTGGCGGGGATGCACTTCACCCCACTGTCAGTGTCACTGATGAAGATCTTAAAGAGCACTGGTGCCAGCAGTGACTGCTGAGGGACACCACCTTGTCACTGATCTCACTGGGATATTGAGACATCACCCACCACTCTCTGGGAATGATCTCATAACCAGTTCCTTGTCCGTCGTACAGTCCACCCGTCAAATCCATTTCTTTGCAGTTTGGAGGGAAGTGAGAAGTTTGGAGTGTCAGAGGCCTTACTAAAGTCCAGATAGATAACATCAGTGTCTCTTCCCTTGTCCACTGATGCAGTTGTGCCCATATTAAAAGTGGCAAGGTTGATCAGTTAGGACCTGCCCTTGGTGAAGACATGGTGGTTATCCCGTATCACCGTCCTCTTTTTCAAGTACCGTAGCATAGCTTTCATGAAGATCTGCTCCATGATCCTCCATGCACTGAGTTGAGGCTGAAAGGTCTGTAGTTCTGAGTCATCCTTTCTACTCTTTTAAAAATGCATATCGAGTGGCCTTTTTTCCACTCACCAGGGACTTCACTTGACCACTGTGACTTTTCAGGTGTCATTGAGATTGGCTTGGCGACCACAGCAGCCAATTCTTTCAGGACTTTCAGGTGTATCTCATCAGGACCCATAGACTTAAGCACATTCAGGTTCCTCAGGTTGTCATGAACCTGATTACAGTAGGAGTAGGAAGATTTGCTTACAGTAGGAGGGAGATCACTCTCCTAGTTCCCACTTTCTGAACCAATGAATGGAAGAAGGCAACTTTAAAGCAAAAAAATTAAAATTAGTAAACATATACATTTGATTGTATATTGTCTGATAATATGCACATTCCACAACTTGTTTAACTCCTTCTGAGCAGACCTATCATTGATAGACAGCATCTTCTCTCTAGGTGTGTCAGGATGAAAACCACAATGAACTTGGCTACTGAGTAAAAAGGTGTAATTATTATTATAGGATTCCTTGGTGTGCTTTACACTTCTCTGATAATTCAGTCATATACTGGGTATCACCTATTTGCCCCTGCATTGTTCAGTGTATTGGTACGTTATCACAAGTGGATTAGGAAATGATAGTTGAAGCAATTATGCCTCAAGCTATCTGTCAGATTGCTGTTCATGGCAAGCACTGTACACAGACTATAACCACTTATTGGCCAATATATTAGCTATTTTTTTTATATGTTCATACCATCTTGTACACTGTAATTGAGTAACTGCTTCACCTGACCTGAGCTATACCTTCTTGGAAGCCCTACAAGAAGGCCACACAGTTATCAGGGTCAAGCAGGTTCATCTGTCCAGATTTAATTTACTTGCATTCTTAAATCAGAAGCCAACTCAAAATAAATAAAGTTTAAAGGCTAGATACTAGTACCACGAATGTCCCATACTTATACATCAGAAGGTTTAGTGGTGCAAGTGTTGATCCCTGAAATACCTCAAGTATATGGGTTTAAGTCTTCATTCTTCAGTAGCATGTAATTAGAGGTGAAAGTGAACTATGAGTTGTACTGCTGTATCTGTATGCCAACTGTTCTGTTTTTTTTTCTCTCCTTGCTAGGTTTCACCAAAACTGATACCAATGAGGCAGATTTAAACCTGCAGCAGAATCTGGGCATGACTTGCTAGAAGGCTTGTTTCGAAATGGAAGCTCAGTGAAGAGGAATCGATGACTGTTTTGCAGTTTTAATTTTTTCTTTCTTTCTTTCTTTTCTTTTTTTATTTGATTTAAGGGCTTTGTAGGTAGTTTCCAGATAGTTAAGCTCAGGCTGTGATTATCAGCCTAAGTGGAATTTTTCTTCCATAGCATTACCAATTTTAATGGAATTGTGCGTATATTCCCAAGATTTCAAATAATGTTATACTAAGAAGTTAGTGAACATTGTCAGAAAAAAATGCCTTGTAGTCTCACTGCCAAATAGTACATTTTTTACAGAGATTCACAAAATGACCATGCAATCTTAAAATTGCCTCTGCTTTTGCTGATGTCACTGAACTTACAGATCACCCTATCATTCTGTAACTACAGCACTATGTTCTTTCTCTTCTAAAGGTGTGGGTTTTCTTGTGGAGCGGCGTATAGCAAATGCATGCAGCTAAAGAAAGACATCAGTAATGTGGACTTCTCTTTTCCTGAACTTTTGAATAAGTCTTTGACAAAACTTTTTGTATCAATGGAAACATTTGGGTCCTTAGCCCTGAATGTATCTGCTGTTTCCTCTGTGTCTGCTGTCATTAAGACACCTCCCAGAGTCCACCTCTAACCCTTCTGTTTAAACTGTACAAGCTAAAATGGGGATAGTTTGCAGGAGGAAGATAAAATGTCTCTGTCCCCCTGCAGACAATTGATTAGCTGTACAGCTGTTCCATCTGAACCCACTCTTAATGCAGTTAGAATCCTTCTTCCAACCTCCATTCAAAGGCAAATGAAGACTGTTTCTGGAGTGAGGTTTGTTCTTCCAGTGTTACACAGAGATGCAGGGGACAAAAATGTTGTGGGCATCTGGGAGATTTCTTCAGAAGGTAATACAGTTGATTAAAAGCAAAAACAATAACTTTGCACCACTTGCTGATCAGAGAATCAGCTACAGAGTTTGGAACCCAAACTCATGATAACTAGAAGGCATACCATGAGACAATCAAAGTATAAGTCAGGTTCTGCTATTTGATTCAGATCTTATTTTCTGTTCTTAATTATGGACAACCATTTCTACAAATCAGTAACGTAGTTATGACTGCACTAGATCTCACCCCTTATTAGCACAATAGGTCTTCCTTATACAGAGCGTGAATTGATGGGAAATATATACTTACTAAGATAGTGTCATTTCCAGATAGGATGATTTCTGTCATTCATCTAAATAGGAACACCTAAAGCCCTTCAGTGAAAATAATTCCTGATGTATGTTTTATGTCAGAACAGGAACAGATTAAGTGACTAAAAATGTGTAAACAGTATATGCATGAAGAAATATGCCTTTCATATATGCAATAGGCAGTGTTGGGATATGGTCATAGAATCATGGAAAGGTTTGGGTTGGAAGGGACCTTTAAGATCGTCTTGTTCCAACCCCTGCTATAGGCAGGGACACCTCCCTCTAGACCAGGTTGCTCAGAGCCCCATCCAGCCTGGCCTTGAATGCTTCCAGGGAGGGAGCATCCACAGCCTCACTGGGTGACCTGTTCCAGTGTCTCACCACCCTCACAATAAAGAATTTCTTTATAATATCTAGTCTAAATCTACCTTCTTCCTGTTTAAAACCATTTCCCCATATCCTGTCTCTTATAAAAAAAGTCCCTCCCTGGCTTTCCGGTGGGCCCTGTTCAGGTACTGCAAGGCTGCTATAAGGTCCCCCTGAAGCCTTCTCTTCTCCAGGCTGAAAAGCCCCAGCTCTCTTATCCTGTACTTGTAGGGGAGGTATTCCAGACCCCTAATCATCTGATCATGGTGTAGAAGGGCATTCTAATACTGTGTGGACAAGGCTTTCAGTGCATGTGTAGAAGGCATATAATAATTTTCAGGGAACCAGATATGAAATTCCTGCAATGTCTAGCTCTATTACTAGCCTTTGGACTGTACTGGTAACCTTGCACTGGAAAAATGTGCTGCACTTCTCCATTCTAAAATGAGAAATACTACTTTTCCATGGGATAGTTAAAAAATTAGACTTGACCCATACATGGATTTTATAGCAGTTCAACTGTTTTGATTTGAGAGATTACTTTTGTTTAGTTGTGTATAACTGCTAAGCAGTTCTTTGATAATCTCTTGTTAATAACAGAATATATTCTTGTTCTTCACACAAAGGAATAAACAAAATACCTGTTTTAGCGCCTTCATGCTAATACAAAAATAATCCCATAACAACTAAGTTATATGACTTGATCTAATATGTAGTAGTGGGTGGTAGGCCATTGAATAGGTTGAATGTGTAGGCAAGGCTATAATGCTGAGCCCATGAAAAGAAATGTCTTGGACATACACTAGATATGTTCTAATGTTCCGCAGTTTGCAGGTGATTTCTTTAATAGCTAATTTGTATGCAAGACATGAGATTGCATTGATCAAAGTGTTCCAGAATACCTTAATCCAGGATTAGCATGCATTTTTACCTAGCTTTGGTTTCCATATTTCCTCTATTTACTCTCTGTGATATTCCCTCAGTCTAGTAATTTTCTTAAAGTTTGGCTACTTCTACTTCTGTGGAACAATCTAAGATGCAGACTGAATTTCTGTTCACAGAGGTTTTGCAGATTAAGTCTCTGTGTAACAAAGGGTGATTTTCAGCTCTATGAAACAGTGTTGGTTTCAGATAGAGCAGCATAGAGACCTCTGCCACACTCCAGAAAAGCAGGTCAGTGACAATTCTGACCCTTGTGGTGCTTTACAAAGTAAAAGATGCCTAACATTGCCTTCAGGCCAAAGAGTTTGGTGGATGCGATCTCCGAAGATTTCTTTTCCATTGTCATTTAAAGCTTTTGTGGGGAGCACCCTGAATGGATGCTGTTTTTAAGGGTATAGAAAAACTGTGTACAGGAGAGGGGAGTCAATAGTAGTTTACCCAGAAAAAAATGTATTTACGTAGTGGGATGAGTCTCAGAGAAATCCAGAAAATAAATGTTGTTCTGTTGCAATTATCTCTGTTATGCTAGTCATAGAACTGATTAGGCAATTACAGCATGTAATTATTGGGATATATAGTGTATGGGAGAAATTTCCGAGGGTGGCATCAAGTTTATGCTGCTTCTTCTGTAGAACTATGCTTTGCTGGCATACGCACAGAAGCCATTATTGTCTGTAATATATGGCTTATAAAAAGACTAATGATTGATAATGTTTGGGACTTCAGGACGTTGGTTTCTGGCTCAAAGAATTAGGAGCCAACAACTGCACTTCAGCTTTTCCAGTTCTCCATGTATTGCCTTGAGAATTGTCATCTGTGCTCTTGTTTCCTGGAAAAGGGGATGTTTTGCTTCTTCCCTAGCAGGAAGAATAATTAGCAAAGATCTGTGAAACACATTATGTTTTCAGCTTGGAGGTCACCCTTGATGAGCAGCTTTTTTACTTGATAAATGTTTGATTTCTGTTTCTTATTTGTATCGGTGTAATGCAAAAGAGCAAAGATGGATGTGGTGCTGAAGGCTGGGGAAGCAAGGAGAACAGGCGCTCTCCATATACACCAGTGGTGCACACATCTGCATGTCACACTTGAACTTTTTATCTTGAGGACATTGTTTTGTGTAGAATACTGGTATTATGAAAATGCTTGCATGTGCACCAGCTAATTACAACAAGCTGTGACTCCAGTTTTTTTTAGCTGAGATCTGTAAAGCAGGATTAGAAATTAAAACACTTTAAGTGATTTAATTCTCTGTGGACCCAAGTGTAGCTCATAGCTATACTCTTAAGCAGTAGTTGTGATGATCGGTATTAGACAGATGGCAGATCCTCATTTCTCTTCCATGGCTGTAAGAGAGCTGATATGCAAGAACGTTTATTGAGGCATCACTGAGGTTATCGGTGCTTCACAGCATTCTTGAGACAAGGACAGATGATGCTTTTTGTTGGGAAGAAGATGGGGTTCTATTGTTACCTATGTTAGACTTACTTTGTTTTTCTTGACTTCATCCCTGAAAAAGCAAGAAACGAATGATGTAAAATGTTTTACTGTAAGCTCTGTAAGCTATACATCAAAGTCCTTCTATGTATTTGCAAAACAATCAATAAAATGAAGACTAAAAATCCCAGGTTACATCTGTCATGACTGTTTTTCATGGTGTTCTGTTCTGCCATTATGAGCATTAAAAGATTAGCTTGTGTTCATACCAGCACGTCATACCTGAGCACACATAAAAAGCCCTCAGCTGCTTGGCTGGAGGTGGAAGGATCTGTTAAATAGAAATAATACAGTTTGAAACTCAGCCAATGGCTGCGTGCTTCACATGCACTCTTCTCGTCAGTTTCTGTGTTGGGTCAATCTCAAACATAATTATCACATTCATTTGTGTAATGACTTGTTTTTCAATCAACTCAAATAATGGACTGCATATATATAGTCCTTAGAGAAGTGCTTTTTACCTTTTGATTGAAACTACCACAGAAATGATGGCATTTGAGATGTTTATTATCGACGTTAGTGTGTAGCTGCACTCTGAAAATAGTACTGGGTGACAAATGAAAGCCAATTCCATTATCCACCTAGTGAATGATAAATTGGATGATTGCAAAGTGATGAAAATGCTTGTCTGTGGCGAATGAGGTCACTGTTTCAAACAGAATATATGTGTATGTGTGTCACAGTATTTTATCTCCCATATCATAGGAAAGCAAGCTGATAAGTGAAGAAAAATGTTTGGTCTCAGGAAAAAAACCTTGATGACTTGCTCTGGAATGAGATTCTTCAGTAATTTATGTGTATGGTCAAAACTCAGCATTCTCTCATCCCCAGGAACGCAGTCTAAGGTAAATGATAGCACCACCAAGAGAGTACTTGTGGTTCTGAAATACACTCATGTGAATGCAGAAGGTGAAGTTTCCTTCTGTGCCCTTCAGAGTATAGGTATAAAAGGAGGAAAATGCAACCACTGAATTACAGATAAATCTGAGCAGTTTTGTGGCATCTTGCATATCTTCTCTTGTTGCCTGTTCTGCAGTATCCCTTTGTTTCTGATGCAGTGCAGTCCTATGCCAATCTACTGCTGTAGGGTAGGGGTCTTAGCTTTGAAGATTCCTGCACCATATGGTCATATGGTGCAACTTCAGGAGACAGCTGTGGGTGCAAGGAAGTTTCACCTAAACATGCTTACGTAACATCGGATTTTGAGAGTAAAATCAAAAAACAGCACCGATAAAGAGTAGCTATTCTGTTTGCATTCCAGAACATGTTTAGATATACACTGTCCTAGATACAGGCCTCAGAAGAAGCATTTGCCTTCAGTGGCAATGGAATCCCAGTGTGACTCCCATGATACTCACATTTTTATTTTATTTCAAACCAACTGAGGGAGACTGGCTGTTTATACAACCTGATTGTACTGGGACAATGGGGAATGTTCTTAAACTGATGGGAAATTCAGGTTACATGTTAGGAAGAAATTCTTTACTCAGTGTTGTGGTGCTGGCAAAGCTGCCCAGAGAGCTGTGGGTGCACCATTCCTGGAGGTGCTCAAGGCTGGGGTGCATGGAGCCCTGGGCAGCCTGAGCTGGTTGGGGGCAGCCCTGCTCACAGCAGGGGTTGGAAATGGGTGGGTTTTAAAGTATTTTCCAAGCCAAGCCAGTCTATAATTCTGTGATTTTATTTTTGTAATGTCTGGCAGAAACGAGTAGAACCATCACCAGTAGAAATCTAGGACTAGAATTTCTGTGCTCTGAAAGGTGTCCCCTGAGCAAGCACTCCACAGAGAAACAGTTAAATTCCTGTACAGCTGTGGTAGGCACTTAGACTGCAGTTGCTGCAAAACATCATATTTGTCCCAACTGTATGGCTGTACGAGGTTCTCAAACTGGATGTCCATCAGCCTGACTGCAGGAGGTTCTCACCAGGTAGGCAGGTTTGTGTGAATTTCAACATTAAGTGGCACAGCCACAACTTCATTAAAAATGGATATCGTGCTTCTTTCTCTGTGTGAAACCAGTGAGGAGAGTGTCACGGTTTGGTTCCTAACTCTTCTCAGGAAGATTCAAAGCACACAAAGCTTGTCCCAGAATAGCAAGCACAGAAGAGATCCTGAAGATACTAACACATCTAGCGGTCCAAGTGGTGCAGTGCGGTGGCATCTCAACACAGTTCACCGTGAGGCTTTCCCTTTTCCAATGAAGTTGCTTATGTTAAGCAAATCCTACCAAGTGTCTTCGCAGAGAACTTTCTTTTCTTCACCTTTTCTCCTTCCCCTCCCTCCCTCTTTCTTCTTTTTCTTCTTTTCCTTTCTCTTCTTTTTCTCTTTTTTCTTTTTTTTCTTTTGTAAAGTCCTAAATGTTCCCTTTGGATCTATCAGCCAGAAAGTACACACTATGTGGGTAGAAAATGGAAGTGAAAACTTTCATAAATGCAGGGAAACATGTTACAAAAAGCAGTGCAGATCTG